TCACGGCGCAGCAACCGATGGCCCCCTTCACGCCCTTGTGGCGCTTGCCCAACATGACCCGCGAAGTCTCTAGGATCCCGGCGCCCAGCTCAGGCGACGCCACGGGGGTCGGCCCCGCGCAATCAACGAGCACGGCCAGCTTTCCGCGGCGGCTGACGAGCGCAGCCCCAGGAGCGCACAGGCACTTATCCTTGGCGTCGGCGCCGAAGTCTGCGTCGCCGAGCCCGCGGCCAGACACGCGCCGCCACCCACCCGTAGCAGGCGGGCAGATGGCCGAGCCCAAGCGCCAGGGACACCCCTGCTCAGGGCAGCGCTCCGGCAGCACTGGCGAAGGCGCCGCGGGCACGATGCCGAAATCAGCCGCGCTCTCAGCGCCGAGGGCTGCTGGACCAGCCCGACGACCCGGAAGACGGCGACGAGGACCCCCGCCCTGGCTACCTCGCCTAGGCAGGCTCGCAGCGCCTCTGCGAATGCTGCTGGCGTCGGCAGCGGAGAGAAAGCGTGCACCTGATTCAAATGCGAGGTGCGGGCGATCGCTGAGCCTTGAACAAGGGCCCCGTCTGGCGCAGCTCCCTCAATGCCCATCAGAAATGGGGCTGCCCGCTCTTCGGGGTACACGTCGAAGTCTGGAGTCATAATCAAATACCTCACATCGGCGCCTGTGCAAAGCTCCCCCGACATCACTCGACGGCAGACTCCGAGCGGACAGCGACGCATCACAACGCGGCGATGCCACAGGCGAGGCTCGTCGAAAAATGTCACCTGAACCTCGCGGCCACCCAGCTGGTACTGACCGCCGAGAGCCGCCGCCATTGCTACAGGCCTGGTAGATCTGCGCGAGAACCACACCGAGGACGACACCGAAGAAAAGGCACACACTGCAGACTTGATACGGCCCTCCCAGGACTGAACTCTGGATCGCACACGTCAGTGCTTGCTCGGCCAGCGGTCGGAGCACTGGAGTGGCCAGAGACGCCACCCCCGCCACACTGGTGAAGATCCCCATGGATTTGCGGCGCCGCCAAAATCCCACCAGCCCTTTGGGCGTGAGTGGTTTAGAGAGCCCGCTCTGTCCTCAACCCCCCATTTTCCCCTTCGGGGAGGGGTTTACCCCTCCCCCTACCCCCTCCCCCTGGACCTGGACAGGGAGTCCGGTGTGGTGCCAGGGGGGTCTTATTCGACTCCTGGGAGGGCCAAAAAAACGACGACCCTCACGAGGATTCTGGCCCCGAGAGGGGGGGGGGAGTTTGGCCCCTCTGCTCGTCTTTGAAGCAGAAATCATTGATTTTACGATGGTTTTGGCCCCATTTGGGCGTCATGAGGGGGCAACGCTCATCTTCCTTCATAGCAAAATCATTGATTTTACGAAGGTGTTGGGCTCATTTTGTCCTTCTCAGGGGGCAGCGTTCCTTTGCGTTTCTGAGGAGGTCGCAAGAGGCCCCAAGATGGCCCCAAGAGGCCCCCAGGAGACTCCCAAGAGGCCTCCAAAAGGCCCCCAAGAGGCCCCCAAGAGGCCCCAAGAGGCCCCCAAAAGGCCCCCAAGAGGCCCCCAAGAGGCCCCCAAGAGGCCCCCAAGAGGCCCCAAGAGGCTCCCAAGAGGCCCCCAAGAGGCCCCCAAGAGGCCCCAAGAGGCTCCAAGGGCCCCCAAGAGGCCCCACGAGGAACCCGAACGACTCACACCAGGACGAGGGGCCCGAACGACTCACACCACGAAGAGCCCGAACGACTCACACCACAAGGAGGGGCCCGAACGACTCACACCAGGACGAGGCGCCCGAACGACTCACACCACGAGGAGCCCGAACGACTCACACCACGACGCGGGCCCCGAACGACTCACACCACGAGGAGCCCGAACGAGTCACACCAGGAGGAGGGGCCCGAACGACTCACACCAGGATGAGGGGCCCGAACAACTCACACCACGAGAAGCCCGAACGACTCACACCAGGACGAAGAGCCCGAACGACTCACACCACGAAGAGCCCGAACGACTCACACCAGGAAAAAGGGCCCGAACGACTCACACCAGGACGAGAAACCCCAAACGACTCAAATCACGAGGAGCGCTTTCTCTCCCTCCTCCTCCGCCTCGTCCTTCTCCCGCTCCCCCCACAAGGAGGATGTACAAGGAGGCGGGAGGAAGGAGGAACAGGGGAGATATGCGGGGCCAAGCGGACACACGCCTGAAAAACGCGACTGTCGGCATGCTTCGCAAGAGTTGCTGCTGTGAGATGGGCTGGTGGGGATACGCGAAGCGTAAAGAATTGCCCTTGAGCCGCGGAGCCAGCGGCCGAGTGGGAAGAGGACAGGGGTTCAGAGAACAGGTGCATTAAAAATGTCGCAACACTGGTGTTCAACAAAAGCGTGCGCGCGCTCTTGCGAATTCTTGAGGAAACCATTAGCTGTTCAACATGTTCATAACATGCTACCAACCGGGCTTCGCGCGCGCGCATGTCGAAATCGGTCGAACGCCCTTGCGCGCGCGTTGGGATGGCACGATCCGTATCAGAAAAACACCATGCGAGCCACTCTCGCGCGTCTGCCGCGCGCACGTCGAAATCTTCCCAAAACCGTCATCACCGACGCGAAGACGCCGTCATCGTCGTCGGCGTGATCAGCATCGGCGCCGTCACTGGCTGCCCCGTCGTCGCTGTCAGCATCGTCACCAGCATCGCTACTATCATCATCGTGTCTACCACTGTCGACATTGCCATGATACTGCGCCCGCCCAAGTCGGCGACTCGCACTGAAGTGCCCGCTGGGATGTGCCGAGCAGTCAGCGCCACCGCGTTCGCGTCGGTCGCGCCAAACTAGCTGGCCGCTGCGCGCGCGAGCATGCGCGGGGTAGCGCGGACGCAGAAATGCACCAGCCAACAGCCAGCACTCGTCGCAATCGCTCCCGCATGGGTTTTTCAACGCAGGTTGCGGGTGGTTGGGTGGGATGACTGCGCGGGCAATTGAATTGACAACTTCAAGTTCGGCAGGTGAATCACCCGTTAGGACCCTGAAGCTTAAAAGAGGCAACCGTGTCACACATGGATAGCGGGTTGTGTTCAAAATGTGGTTCTCGCCTTAGCGCCACGCACATTCAAGAGCTTCACTGATTGAGGGCGGGTGGCCTTCAAAATTTAGCTCTCGCCTTAGCACCGCGCATACTCGCACCACACACTCGCAAGAATTTCACAGCTTGAGGGCGGGTGGTTTTCAAAATGTGCCTCTCGACTTAGCGCACATTCGTCCTGAAAAATTGCAAAGCTTCACGGATTGAGGGCGTGAGTTTTCAATATGTGGCACTCGCCGTCGCGCCGCGCGCACTCGTTTCAAACCTTTGCAGGAATTTCACGGATTGAGGGCAGGTTGTTTCCATCGCTTGCGAAATTTACACAATTTCACAGAGTGAGGGCGGTGCCTTTTCAAAATGTGGCTCTCGCCTTAGCGCCGCGCGCACTCGAGTTTCACTGGTTCCCGTGGTCAACGTGCCAGTAATGGTGTTTTGCTCGGGATTATAAGGGCGCAACAGGTGCTTTGATTCGCGGTGTTGAAGTCCCAGAAACGGGATCGTCAAGACGCAACAATCAGTCATGTTGATTCGTGGCGCTGGAGTGCCGGGAATGGTTGTTTGGCACGCTTCAGGCTCTTCGAACAGTTGTCTCCAAACGAGGCAGTTCCCTGTGGAAGTGAATCCTTGTAGAGACATATGAGCAGGGAGCTTGGAGGGAGGGTTTATTCCAACATCCTTGATGAGTCTTGGGCTTGCATTGGTCCTCATCCTCCTCCTCCTCCTCCTCCTCTGCCTCCTCGTGAGGCACACTCAGCAGGTCACCTGCCAGGGGAAAAGACGGACCACCACAACCGAGATCCCATCGGTGGGGGGCCGACCGACCCCTGGGCGGAGGCACGCCCGAGCGCAACCCCAAGATAGGACGGCGCTCAGGCTTGCCACCGCCCAGGGGCCCGTCCCTCGCCGGTGCGTGTTGGTGGCGGTCTGTGCCCTCTCTGAACCTGGGCCCTCCCCCCGCAAATCCTGGGGAGCCCTTGACAGGGACGAAAACAACACAAACAACAACTTTCGGAGGTCCGCGCGGATTTCTTGGGGTCGGCGCTGGCACTTCCCCCGTGGCGCGCGCAACGCGCCAGGGGCGGCGCCGGAAGCGCCAGGGGGTCCCAGCGCCGATCCCAAGAAATCCGCACGGAGCTCCAAAAGTTTATGTTTATGCTGTGTCTTCTTTTTTGAGCCTTGGTCCAGGGACACCTCTGGCAACACCCGACCTTTTACCCCAGACACACTAGGTGGCCTCAATTTCTGTTCAATACGTGTTTTCTGGAAATCCCGACTCCTTCCCGGGGCCGGTTTTTCATCCCGACCCGTTTTCTGACGGTCCTGGGGCCAGTCGAGTGCCCCAGGAGGTCGAAAACTGCCGGAAACCTCCCGTCGTGATTTTGTCACGACGCCAGCAGCACGTCTGGGGGGCACACCTCTGGCAACACCCGACCTATTGCAAACCAATACATCAACATGATTTTCGGAGGTCCGTGCGGATTTCGTTGTTCAGAGTTAGACCCTCCAGCGCCGCCCCTTGAGCGTTTCGCCCGCGCCGCCAGGGGAGCACGGACCAGCGCCGACCCAAGAAACCCACGCAAACCTCCGAAAATGTATGTTTGTTCCACACCTGGCAGGCTTGATTTCAAGAGAAGAACTCCCGACCTAAGCGGGCGGCGGAAACGGCAGGGCCGTTTCTTGACTGGTTCCTTACGAATGTCTCTTGACAATAGAAGCGGTGAACAAACGACGACCGTAAACAGCAAAACCGTTCTCTGGGATTGAAACCACTACCAGAACGGGCCAACGAAACAGCGACAGAACCGGCAGAAAAGACGCGCCAGAACTGGCAAAGAATATACAAACAGAAACGGAAAAAAAAAACGGCCCTGTCGGCTCCAGGGCCAAGTGAGCTAGCTCCCCAGCCGCCTCGCACGCCCCTGCCTCCCGGGGTCGCCGTGCCCCAGGTGCCCCACAACGTGGCGCTGCGCGGGGCCGTGCACCACGCTCCGGCCGACGGCGCCCGCTCGAAGCACCCCTTGCAGGCGGGTTCGTCCCTCCGCTTGCCTCCTTTCCCTGCTGCCCCCCCCTGCCCTCCAGACATGACTGCGTCGTTACAAAAAAAAAAAAAAAAAAATGTGGCCACTTTCGGTCTCTGGGGGCCCTCGACGGGCCCTGCGACCGTCAGAAAAGGGCTCGGGAAAAACTGGCCCTGGGGAAAGGGTCGGGCCTTCTGGGGACCGCGTATTGAAAAATGAAGACATCGCATGTCTGGGCATCATCCTCCTCCTCCTCCTCCTCCTCCTCCTCCTCCTCCTCCTCCTCCTCCTCCTCCTCCTCCTCCTCCTCCTCCTCCTCCTCCTCCTCCCCCTCTTTTTCCTCTTCCTCCTCCTCCTCCTCGTCCTCCTCCTCCTCGTCACTCCTCCACCTCCTCTTTCATACGCTTGCCTTACATGTAACTCGACCCTATCGCCGTCCCCCACCATCCACCCGCGTGTGTGGGTAGTGCGGGGCGGACGTTTAGCCAGAGATTTCTTCACCACCCGTGGCCTCGAAATCTGACTTTCGGCAACAGTTACACGTGCGGAGGAGGGCCGTTTTCAAACATGGGCTGTCGCCGTAGCCTCTCGCGAACATGCGTCGTAAGAGCTTACAGCAGCTGCGAGGATGGAAGGGGGTCGATTTCAAAACGGGGCTCTCGCCTTCGCGCGACGCACACTCGTCTGGAGCGCCTGCAGCATCTGCACGCGTGGAAAGGGGGTCACTTCCCAAATGGTGATCTCGCCTCAGCTCCGCGCACACTCGTATTGATACCTCGTGTGTAGCTATACTCCTGCGTTCGCGTGTTTCACTCTCACCATCCTCTTCTCCTCGTCTGCAAGCCTCGCAACAGCTACAGTGGTGGAGAGCGGCTGACTTTCAACGAGAGCGGCTGATTTTCAAAAATGGGGGCTCTCACGCTAGAGCCGAACACATCCCTCGTTAAAAACATGCGGAAACTACGAGGGTAGAGAGAACGGCTCCTTCTCCAAACCGTAGCTCTTGCTTGAGACATCCGCCATATGCCTGTCACCGATGTTTCAAGCCGCAGCGACACAACGAGCGAACGCACGAAGGTGCCCCGGACTGCGCTTGAATTCACGTCATGCCCCTCACACGGTACCCACCGCGACAAGGACCTGCAGGGCGAAGGTCAGCCTGGGCGACCACTCGCGAAAAGGCTCGCCCGCAAGTACTTGTCGAGAGCCTCGAGGCGCAAGTTGGAGTGTCTTCAGGTCCGGTAGCGCTCTCTGCTCGGAGTATTCTTAATTATCTCTTTACGGGGCCCACTGCCCGGAGGCTACCAGGCGCTACTAGAAGTTCTCTTGCGCTGTTGCAGCTTCCCTCGTGCTTGTCGCGTTCCTTCGGCGGCGGGCGAGGGGGGAAGCGAGAAGAAGAAGGTCTTCTCAGAAGGCGGCGGGACTTCTCAGAAGTCCTCGAGCCTTCTGCGAAGTTGTGTGTCTTCGGGGAAGGCTTAGGGAACGTCTTAGAACGCCAGGGGACTTCCGAACCTTCTGAGCAGGCCCGCCCCTTCTCTCTTCCCCCCCTCGCTCGCCGCCGACTGTTCCTCAGGCCAGTGCCAGTGCCCGAAGAGGGACCAAAAGGGCTCTGAGGCGCCCCAAACTAGAAGAGAGCCCCGTGACGCCCCACGAGGGCCCCAAGACGCACAGAACGGCTTCAAGACAGCAAAAGAGGCCCAAAAAGTAGGTCCCGAGACCAGAAACTCCGCCAGAGATTGTTGACAGATTTGACTGGTCTCGACTCTTCAGGTTTCCGGCTGCCGAAGACGGTCAAAGAGAGACCCGAGATCGCCCGAAGGCGGCCCAACATGCGCCTGAGAGTGCCCAAACACGCCCCAAGAGGGCCTCAAGACGGGCTACGAGGCCGACAGTGCCCAAAAGGCCTCCACAGGGGGCCTGAGAGAGGAACACGAACTGACATGTGGAGCCCTCGAACCCAAGACGACCCTCGAGACCGTCAGCAGGCCCCGAAAAGGGTCCCTGAGAGAGGCCCCCAAGAGGCCCCAAGAGGCCCCCAGGGGGGGGCCAAAGAGGTCCCATGGAGCCCCCCAAAAGGAGAACCCCCCGAGAAGCATCCCAAGAGAACACAACATGCATACAAGAGGCCCCTGGTCCACGAATCCAGGGGCATGGTGACGGTTTGGGAGCTAAACCTTCGGCTCCCACCGCCCCACAATGGCTTTCGGGCGGCCGACAGGTATCACGGCCAGGAGTTTCAAAACATTGAACAACTTCAGGGATGAGGCGGTTCCTGTTCAAAATGGGGCCCCCGCTTTATCCAAGTGAATGAATGACCGGAAACGCAAACGCGTGCAACAGTTACACAGATGGGGACGGTCTCGCTAAACAGTTGAACTTCGTGACTTGTCTCGGAGTCGCATCTTCCGCTAGAAAGAAAGCACGAAGGCTGGGGCACAGTTCCCGGAGGAGGCCCTGGGGGCGGGCGCGCCTCTCCGCAAAGCAGTTATTTCCTGGAACGGTGCTCTCGCCTCACTGGCAAGCATTTGGGGTGGTCCTCTTTCAAGACGCGCGCGCACCGTCGCGCGCGCAAGCCGACATCTTTCAGAAACCTTGGGTTTGGGGAAAAAACCCAAACAACAACAACAAAAAAACTTGAGCGCGCGCTGTTGCGAATCCGGATGAAAACCACAAGCTATTCAAAATGTTCAAAAAATGCTACCAAACGGGCTTGGCGCGCGAATGTCGAAATCGTTCGAACGCCCTTGCGTGCGTGCCGTCGCGAGAAACCTCCGCGCAAAAAAAAACGAAACGCACGCGCGCGTCCTCGCGCGCGCGCGCCGAAATCCGTCAACAAAAACCGTCGGCTCCGTAAATAAGTTTAAAACCGACTGTCCAAAAACACATGGAAAACAAGCATGGCTTCGCAACGTGAGCATTCAACTAGAAGCGCGCGCTCGCGCATGCCGACATCATTCGCACGCGTGCTGGGGGGGGCGCACGATCCGCATCAAAGAATACCACGCGGGCCACTCTCGCGCGTCGGCCGCGCGCGCGCGCACGTCGAACCCTTTCCCCACCTTGATCACCGACGCGAGGACGCCGTCATCGTCGTCGGCGCGGTCAGCATCCGCACCTCCATTGGCTGCGCCGTCGTCGCTGTCAGCATCGCCGCCAGAATCGCCACTATCAGCGCCGCGTCTACCGCTGTCGACGTTGCCATGATACCGCGCCCGCCCACGTCGCCGACTCGCACTGAAGTGCCCACTGGGATATGCCAAGCGGTCAGCGCCACCGCGGCTGCGTCGGTCGCGCCAAGTATTTTGCCGCTGCGCGCGCGCATGCGCGGGCTGTCGCGGCCGCAGAGACGCACCAGCCAGCGCCGGGCACTCATCGCAGTCGCCGCCGCACGGGGTTCGCAAACCAAGTTGCGGGCGGGCGGGTGGGATGTTTGCGCCGGCAGTGGAGCGGGCAACTTCAGGTTGGGCATTGATTAATTCTCCTTTCTGAAAAAAGGAAACTCCCCCCCCCCAGGATAATCGACATATGATTGGCATGGCAATTTACATACGATTCTGCCCCATCACCCGTCCTAGACATACCACCCCGGCCATGCCGGCATCGCCCCCCCCATCATCCTCTGGAAAAAACGGTGCGCGCGCACTCGTTTATCACAAATCATATGTTGCCAAGACATCCTTGCGAAAAATGAAACGAAGTGCACACGCGCGCGTCGTCGCGCGCGCGTGCCGAAATCCTTCAAAATACGTTGGCGTCGTAAGGATTTCAAAATCGAGCGCAAAAAAAAAAAACATGAGACCACACGGTTTCGCAACACTGTTTTTTTTGAAAAAATGCGCGCGCGATCTTGCGAATTGTTCCACAGGTCCACAAAATGTGACCAAACGGGCTTCGCGCGCACATGCCGAAATCGTTCGACCGCCCTTGCGCGCGCGCCGTCGCAGGGGCCCTCTGCGAAAAATTGGACGAAGTGCAAAAACCTGCGGAGTCGCAGCGAGTTCAGAATCGAATGCCCAAAACACACACACACACACACACACACATTTATATATATATATATATGAAAAAAACACCAAAAACAAATGGTTTCGCAACGTCAGCATTCAACAAACAACAGAATACATAGACAAACAACAACAACAACAACAACAACAACAACAACAACAACAACAACAACAACAACAACAACAACAACAACAAAAGCGCTTGCGCTCTTGCAAATTGAAGATAACCATAAGTTCTTCAACATGGTCATGAAATTCCGCCAAAGAGGCCTCTAGCGCAGCATACCGACACCATTCGGGCGCCCTGGCGCCTGTGCCCGGGGGGGGGCGCGATCCGCGTCAAATGATGCCACGCGGGCCACTCTCGCGCGTCGGCCGCGCGCGCGTGTCGAACCTGATCCAAAACCTGCACCACCGACGCGAAGACGCCGTTATTGTCGCCGGCGCGATCAGCATCGGCGCCCGTGCTCGCCGCGCCTTCGTCGGCGTCAACATCGCCACCAGCACCGCCACGAATCATCGCGTCTACCGTTGTCGACGTCGCCATGATTCCGCGCCCGCCCGAGTCGCCGACTCGCAGTGGAGTGCCCGCTGTGATGCGTCCAGCGGTCAGCACCACCGCGGCCGCGTCGGCGGCGCCAAACTAGCTGGCCGCTGCGCGCGCTAGGGTTGACGCGGCAGCGGAGATGCACCAGCTCACTCCAAACATGCATCGCAATCGCCACCGCATGGGTTTTGCAAACCCAGTTACGGGTGGGTGGCGGGATGTTTGCAAGAGCATGGGATGTGTCAACTCGTTTGTTAAAACCAGTTGCATTACATAGACTGCACCGCATATATTGCAACACATAGCTCACACCACATAGGTTGCGCCACATAGCACCGACATTTAGCTCCTACCACAGATGCTAGACCACATAATTTACATCACGTAGCTTACACTACATAGCTCACACCACATTTCTTGCACAACACTGGCAGGCACTTCAGCTCCG